TGGCCGAGACTGAGGAGCCAGGTAGGGGCGGAGCCCGCGCCTCTTCCTGCGCGCCTGGTTTGTGACCCGCGGGGCGGCGGCCGAGAGCCGCATTGTCCTCCCCCCATACTCCCGGCCCCGGCGGCGCTGGGGCTCTTGGACCTCCCCCCGGCCCCGGTTTTCCAAGCGTCCCCCTGCGCGGTGTCCTGCAGCCTGAGCATCGACCTCGCACGTGGATGGAGGTACCGTTGGGTCCGAGCGCTCTCTTTTTTGTTGTTGCCCCGAGTCATATTTTGCAGCAAAAACTGAAAATAAAAGAGATGTCTCTTTGAAACTTGTCTCAAGCAAATCATTAGGGCGGCGGGGACAGGACGTCGCCGTTTTCTTTCTCTGTGGGTTCAGACCCAGTTGGAAGGTGACCTCGTTTCTCCCCAGCACTGAGCAGATCGTAGCCGATCCTGAACGAGGTGCGGGAACCTGGTGAGAAGCATAGGTGGGCTATAGGGCTGGAGGGATCCAGCTTTTAACCCGGCTTGTTCCAGCCCTAGCCCTGTCCTTGCTTCTCGCCAGGTTCCTGTGCCCTGTGTAGGATCGGCTGCAACCTGCTCAGTGCTGGGGGGAAATGGGGTCAGCTTCCCACTGGGTCCGACCCCTCAGAGGAAGAAGACAGGGGTCATCCGGTGCCCCGATGATTAGCTTGAGACATCGCCACTCTTTAAAGTTTCAAAACGGTGTCTAGTTTTGTTTTTTGTTTTCTGTGGAAAATGTTACTCCGGGCAAAAGAAAAAAGGGTTTAGACTAAGCAGTACCTTTGTCCGTGTGCAATTATTATGCTTTTGTTGCAGGGATGCCAAGCGCGTGTTTTCCACGTTGTGTTCACCTGCGCAGTTGGCATCCTTTAGTTGAAGGAGAAAAGGCATGGACTGTTTCTGTTCTACTGTGATCATGTTTTCAAAGCCTTTGAGAATTTGAGATGATAAATCTGCCGTGTTTCTGAGCATGTTCATAGCATCATAGAGGAGTCAGGCTGGGAGGGATCTCCTGAGATTGTTGCCCAACCCCCAGCCTGAAGCAGGATCATCCCCATATGCTTTATCTTAAGCAAACATTTGATAACTCTGCAATCGGTTAGAAAGTGTGTTTTTTATTATGGTTGAGGGAAAAGTAAGAATTAAGTGAAGAGAAACTGGAAAAAATGGTAGAAATCAGATATTTTGTGTGGTTTTGTGTCTTTCTGTACTAGTTCTGTAACATAATTTGGGTAACGAATATTTGTTCGTATGGTTCACCATCAAGAAGTAAATAAAAATAGCCATGTTAATTTTGACTTGATTGCTATCAGCAACCGAGGACTTGGCATTTGCCATAATGAAAAAAAGCTTGCTTTTAATATTTGAATAAGGTATAAGCCAAGTACCTAATTTATTTTATTTTCTCTATCAGGTAATTATATAGCTAGAACATCTCCTAAAAAACCTTTATATATTGCAGTAAAGCATGAAAAAGTAGCTAGCAGTTCTAGGGGAAACTGTTCTGAAATAATGTCTTGCTAACTTTTTAAATGGCAGAATAGTGTGACGTACAGGTTATACACTAAAGATGTCTAAGTGTTAAGGGATTTATACACTAAAGATGTCTAAGTGTTAAGGGATTTAATTCAATGTTTTAATTTGCTGTTGGTGTTTTTTCTAAGGTATTTGTTGTTTGTTCTTTCTGTAGCCATGTTGACATTTGGTCAATTGCACATTGAGAGAATCTTTTTGTTTTTGTATAAAATAAAGGCTGCAATTCAGTGTTTTTGACAACTCCATGACGATACATCAGTGAATAAAAGATAAACTTTTTCCTGTTTGCTTGGGTTTTTTTGTTAGCAGTTTCATTGTAAAGTATTTCAAAAGGTGAAGTTACTGAATCTGCCATTACAAATAATGGTATAATGGCTATCTACTGTTCAGTGGGGGAAAAATTTCTCTTGGTATCAATTTTGTCATGGGGAAAATAATGTATCCTTTTAAAACTGAGGTATACAATAAATGTCATATTTATTCAAGTACACCTATTCCTCTGACAATTTATAGTCAAGACAAATGCCTCCATTTGGCATAAGTAAAAAAAACTGATTTTCATTCCAGAATGGACTTTTCAAATAGCAAAATGGCTATTTCTATTATGGCAACAAAAGGGATGAAGGAGTGGTGGTAGGGGGCTATGCTCAGTACTAGGTCACCCAAGGCTGAACATTGGTGGCATGGAGCAGGGTGGCAATCCTGTCATCCCTTCCCCTCCTCCTGCTGCAGGGCCAAGAGCTGCAGGTTTAATCCTCTCTTACCTGCTGCCAAATTGGCATTAGTTTTTGGCCAAGGAGCTGGGGGAAGGAGAGTAGAGTTGATTGAACTACTGGAGCATTCAGCCCTGGGTAAGTCTGTGCTGTGGTAGATAAGACTAGAAAAATCTCTCCCTCTTCATTCTGCCACCCTGAAACAAGGTGTGTGTCTTATTTGTGGATGTGCGGTATGTGAATAACACATCAAACCTCTGCTGTGGTGATGTGCTATACAACATAACATTGAACACAGCCTTTCAAAATTTTCCCACACTTCACCATGTTTCTGGTTACTATGGAGGCAACTTACAGGTCAGGGGGAAGGGTGTGAAAACAATTTTTCAAGGCTCTTAACTGTGTTGGCCATGATGATTGATTTAAAAGTCACATGAAACATTGAAGAAAACATTAAAACCTGGGGACAGAGACACCACTGGATTATCTAGTCCACTCTATTGCCAGAATAGGATCATTAAGAACACAGGTTCTTAATGATATCCATTTTTGCTAAGATTGCAGAAGAGTTTGAATGATCTTTCTACATAACTTTTTTGAAAGGTGGAGAATCTGAATGAAGATTTTCCATGATTGGTCTTTCCCTGAAATTTACTTTTAGGCAGCTTCTTCAGTTGTTTTGGCAATGAATGACCAGGCAGACAGTTTAATTATTGAAACAAAATCTTTCTGCACTTTAGACAGTGCTATAGCTAAAGGGGTTGCTCTTTGAAACTTGCAGTTGGCTTAACTTTACCCTCATCAATGACTGGTGCCTTTTTTTTGGTTTGAAAATATGATTTAATAAAGGTATGAAGGCTGCTTAAACTGCTTAAAACTGTTTTTCAACCTGTGGTCTGTGGACCCCTGGAGGTCTCTAGACTGTCCAAGGTGTTTGCAAAAGATGAGTATTCACATACTTTTGATTGATCATAGTCAACTTGCAGTTCAAAGTGGTCCACATCTCCATTCAAAATTTTTTAGGGGTCAGCAAATGAAAAAAGTTTGAAAACCACCAGCTTAGAATATATGTAATTTTAAGACTTACACTTGGAGCTATGCATTTCAACATAGATATGTATATGTGGGCATAGCTCATTTAAATTGCACTGATTATTGTTCAGCACACTTGTATTTTACAGACATGTAAAATAGGATAATTTTCCAATGTAAGATCTTAGTTGGATGTAGTTGAGTTATAGCTAAGTTAAATAAAAGGTAAAGTTTATATAGAAAATTAATGTTGGAAAGGACCTCAGGACATCATCTGGTCCAACCCCCTGCTTAGAACAGGACCATCCCCAACTAGATCATCCCAACCAAGGCTTTGTCTAGCCGGGACTTAGAAATCTCCAAAGATGGAGATTCTACAACCTTTGTGGGTAACACGTTCCAGTACTTCACCACCCTCCTAGTGAGCAAGGTTTTCCTAATATCTAACTTAAACATTCTTTGCTGCAAGTTGAGACCTTTGCTTCTTGTGTCATCTCCCACCACTGAGAACAATCTAACTCCATCCTCTTTGGAAACCCCTCTGTCTTCTCTTCTCCAGACTAAATAAGCCCAGTTCCCTCAGCCTTTCCTCATAAGCCACATTCCCCAGCCCCCTTACCATTTTTGTTGCCCTCTGCTGGACTCTCTCCAATTTGTCCATGTCCTTTCTGTAGTGAGAGGGCCCCAAATGACACAGTACTCCTAATGTGGCTTTCCCAGTGCTGAAAAGAGGGGAAGAATCACTTTCCTTGGTTTGCTAGCAACACTACTACTACTAATGCAACCCAGTATTCTGTTAGTCTTCATTGCAACAAGGGCACGCTGTTGGCTCATATTTATCTTATTGTTCACTGTAACCACTGTCCTTTTCTGTAGAGCTGCTGCTTAGCCTGTCACTCCCCAGCCTGTACAGGTGCGTGGGATTCTTTCATCCTAAGTGCTGAACTTTGCGCTTGTCCTTATTGAACTTCATGAGACTTGTTTTGGTCCAATCCTCCGATTTGTCAAGGTCTCTCTGAATCCTAGCCCTACTCTCTAGCAAATCTATTACTCTGCCCAGCTTCGTACCATTCAAAAACTTGCTGAGGGTGCACACTATTCTACTTTCCAGGTTGTTGATGAAGATATTGAACAAAACCAGCCTGACTCGTGGGGCACTCCACTTGATACCATCTGCCAAGTAGACATTGAGCCATTAATTACTACCCTTTGAGCCCGACAATCCAGCCAGTTTTCTGTCCACTTACAGTTCCTTCATGTAACCATACCTTCTTAGCTTACTTGAGAATGTTGTTGCAGACCATATCAAAAGCCTTGCTATATAGTAAAGGTATATCATGTCCAGTGATCTCCCCACATCCACAGAGCCAGTCATCTCATCATAGAAGGCAGTCGGATGGGTTGGACATGACGTGTTTGAATCCATGGTAGCT